CTACTGCTGCTGGCGTTGACCTGTTTGTTTGTCCGTCCTTTCTCGGAAGCAACAGAAATGTAACCAAACCGAGGGACAGTCGCCACTGCGGACACCCATATATCTGATCCAAGCTTTTGAATCCGATCAAGCCATGCCATTGGTCACTCGTCCTGCGCAGAGGGCTACTTCTGCAACCTTGGAGAATAGCGAAACTGGCTGCTGGTACTGCTATTGTTGTTGGTGTTGTTGGCCTGTGTTGGTTTAACTGTTGCTGTTGATGCGAACTGGTCGCTGTCGTAACCTTGTGCAACATGGACCGAGTTGGGCGTGTGGACAACCATGGGCTCAAGATCAAACAACAAGTCCTCCAAACCCCCAATCGTCAAACCCATCCTCCCCGACTTGGCTCACCACCGCCACGACCCCCTCTGTCCCTCTCACTCCTTGGAGGATCGTTGTTGGAAGGGATACATGCGAGCTCGGACTGAGGAGTAGTGGTGGCCGACGAGTCCAGCCTATTAACCTTCCCCGTCGTTAACCCTAGCCCTGCATCTAAATAAAGTGAAGTCGTCGAAAGGCAGCATAAGAAAATTGGATCCAATGGATCAATTTTCATGGTCATAATCCGGTGCTATAAGAAGCCTTGTTCTTGCCACATGGCTGAGTGAAACGGCGTTCTTTGGCTGCAGAAGCAGCATACGCCTTCTTGGTCAGCAGTTCTGTAGTTCTCCTGTCCTTGGAATTCGCCTTAGTTTGTTCAAAGTCGCGCAGCAGGGGCCGTGTTGCCGGCTTGGCTGAATGGGCGTTATCCAGGTCCTGGGGTGTGTAGATATGCTGCACCGGATTGTTGCTGAGAGTCTTCTATGCGGCTGTTATATCCTGGGTTATGTGGCGTTGTCGCTTTTTGGCAGTATGTGTTGACTGTGCGAGATGATTGGTCTGGGGTGCTGTAGTAGTAATCACAGTGGGAACGGCTACTGGCTCTTGTAGCTCTTGCGCAAGCTCGTATTGGAGGAGTAAAGCCCTTTCCGTGTCCTGTGTGTCGGCAAGGTCTATTTGTTTTTGAGCAGAATAAACCCATTTAGTATCCTAAATAATAATAGGCAGCTTCATATCGTTCTAAAGACACATTTGATCACCAACATAATACCGTGTGTTACCTTGTAGACGTTTAAGCGGCGCGACATATCCTTACCGAAATTCCCACCGTTTGCAGCATCTTGGCTATTTCTGGGTCCGTTGTTCCAAAGTAACATGATGTCTACCGCAAAAAACCGGGCCCCGACAAATCAATGCACGCAGTGAGATTTTTACACACGGGCCTTGTCCATGTTGGCTGTGAATGAACTCCCGAGCTGCTGCCCGATCTAAAAAAAAAAAAAAAAAAAAACATAGACTTGAAACAAGGACAATTGTAAGCTGTTGATAACATTTTCTTTCAAAAACTCACCTTCAACGACACCCTGCTCATCTTGCAGTAGAAAGTTACCATGTTGATCTTTCGCTTCAACTCTGCTGCGTAGCGCGTCAATCAGAGAATCACCCACTGGTGTCGTAGCAGAAGTCCTTCCCATAGCCTCCAACTGTTCCTCCAGGCCTGGCAACTGAACATGACGAATCTCAGGCTCTGACTCCGCCAGTCCTCGCAACGCATTGATGATGGTGTTCAATCTAACGGCCTTCATGTCTGATCCCGGTTGACGAAGACAACGGGCCAAATATGACTGTAGGCTTCGCAGACGTTTCCGCCAGTGTGGTGATGTATATGAGAAGCGCGCCGAGCCAACTGCTCGGTTCCGAAAATGGTGGTCACAAGCACGCCACCAAAATACCACTCAAAGGGCAGATCCTTTTCTCTTATTCTTTTTGATCCACTCTTTTGATTGTTATTCTGACCAGCAAGGACCACTCGACCACCTTTCGATAGGTATTGTCATGATGGCGTATCCTAGCCATGTTCCCGTTCCCTTCTCAGTCAGCATTGAAAGCAGGATCTCCCAGCCACCCCTGCGCATTGTCAACAATGAATACAATGCGCACTGGGTAGCACAAGGAAACCCACCACCGACCGGCTTGTCCATACTATCCTTGACACTATTTGCGCAACCCCTGATCTCAAAGAGGTCCACTTTTCGCCCTGCCCATGTTTCTGCCAGTTATCGATCCGACCGCCATCGTTGGTACTGTCCGACCTATCGTCTAACGGCGGACTACGGTGCAACTGTCAACCTATATTATGGAATAGCCGGTGCCCAGGGGTCTACTTTACTGTTAGCACTCGTTACATTTATTCTCCCTCTCTCCTTTTATTTTTGTTTTGTTTATTCTATCGATCCCACATATGTGAACTCCTTGGTTCCCTCCTTTTTCATCCTCACGGATATAGTCCTTGCTCCACAGCCCATTTGTTTAGACTAAGTCCCCCCGCAGATAGTCTTGTTTACATCATCGGACCAGCACTTTCGACTCTTGGCGGTCTTCATGGCCGACTCCTCCTTCCTGGCGTCCCGCTCCTGCTTTTGCTGAGCCTCGCGTTTTCTGCACTCCTCCTCCTCCTTTCTCGCCGTGAGATGCTGTCGTAAAACAATGTTGCAGAATGTGTGAAATATTTTGTCGAATAATGGACCATCCCAGATGTTGGTAAAATTAGACGAGATGTCGTTAAGCATGACCCTGGTGGTGCTTGAAAAGTTGGCAAGAGGGTGGATGTTTGTATCGACACTTGATGAAGGTGTTGGTGGTGACGAGGCGCGTATGCTGTCAGAGAGATCCTGCCAAAATGTGTGATCGACTTGTGAGGTGCTTCCATTCCCTGAGGTGTTGTCCTCGTCTGCGTGGACGCCAAGATGCCTTGCAGACAAAAACGACAGCGCTCATAAAGATAAAGTACTGCGGACATCCTTGCCTTGAGGTGTATCGTCCTTGGTCTCAATCAATCAATCTCTCGAACTCCGGATCCAGGGCTGCTACGGACATCCGTACAGTATCGAGATCGACATCGGGCAGACGAGACTAAAAGCCGGCCGGGAATATCTGGCTCAAAAGAAAGCCGTCATCAGTCCCACTCTTGAACTGCAGCCCGGCTTGATTACGATATGAAAACAACAACCACATATTAGTAAAAACGATCTCTTCCTTCCTTGTAAAACACTGCCTGCTGGAAATGCATGCATGCATGTATGCATTCAAAGCAACACAACAAAGCTAGTCCCTCCAAGTCCACCTTCCTTCCGAGAAGGTTAACATTTGATGCGAAATCAGATGCAATATCCTGCTTTGCTTCCAGTATCTCTGCAATCTCGTCGTGCTGTTCGTGTAAAATCAGGCCTCAGAGACTGTAAAAGCGTCATAGTAAACGACTAGTACCCATTCCTAGGGTCTGCATCATCCTCATCAGTATCGGACTTGCTGTCGAGATCCACGACGTTACTCTCTCCTCCATCGTCGACATCCATGCACTTGTCCATACCCACACTTGCCTTGTCCATCATATCAGCTGAAGGCCTTGGAGTTGTTGTTGATGACGATCCAACTAGGGGCGCCACGGCCTTGCTCTCACTGCTTGCGATGTTGTTCCTTGCAGCAGATCCCATAGCCTTCTTGCCCTTGGGTTGGTAGTCAGACCCATGAAATACTCCATCGACTGTCTCCTTCCGCCGGACGGACCTCCATGTCACTACCCGTTGCCAAATCCTCACCGGTCTTTTTCTGACTTTGACTTTAGCCATTTTGCGGGTGATTTTGATGTTGCTGAGCTCCTTTTGTATCAACTCCATGTACTCCATGAAGACTCCGTCGGGGGTTTGAGGTTTTTTCATCGGACGTGCTCTGAGATCCTGCATAGTGGCGTTTCTGTTCTTGAGATTGGACTTGGGCGATAATTTCCGAACTTTGTCGGCCTCTGCAAGAATAAAATTGTCCAACCGGTGACGACTATAAGCATATTGAAAGAAAAAAAATTGCTTTAGAGGTCTGCAGTCTTTATCCATGGCGTTTCCATTGAGTGGCATTGCTTTCTTTTGGATAAAAGAGCAATAACTTGCCAAGCAGAGGCATAGACCTCAATCACCACACTATCGTCAAACTCAGTCAGTTCCTGAACCTGTTTGGTTCCTTTTCTCGCGCGTTTCTCATGACGAAGAATGGCGGAGTGTGGGTGTTGGGGATCGTAAAAAGGCGCAGGAGGAGAAGGCGTAGAGGAGGGAGGGGGCTCTGAATGACGAGCAGGACCCAGGACAAAGTACTTCACGAACGTTCCAATGCCATCACACGTCCTCAAAACCCCCATCGAGAAGCAGGGCGTCTTGCCGTCTCCAGGTGCGAATCGACCCGCTGTCCCAACGGAGGTAAACTTGTAGATGATGCAGTTGAAATGCCTCGCCAGGAACTCAAACAAAAAAGGACCACGGTGGTCAAGAGGCAAAGACAACACGGTGGACGGTGGAGGGTCGGGGTCGACATCTTGGTGTGGATGACGCTCATTTGGACCCTTGATGTTTAGCGCAAAAACCGTGAAGAAGCCCGCTCTGATCCTGACCACCTTGCATCCGGATTCCAGCGCTCAGCAAGGTTTCCGCCACATAGTGGGGGAAGGCTGTCAGAGGTGATGTTTATTAATGTTGCGCGCTCTGTCTAATAGAGTCTCAACAGTCAACAGCCTGTCCAGAAGTCGAGCCTTCACGTCGGCCACATCTCCGGTGAACTCCGTGTCCTTGAGAGCGTGAAACGCTTCATCTAGTTGATGCCGATGCGACATGTCGTCCATTAGAGTAGGCGCCCTTGCCAGCCATTCTTGGTCGTGAGAAATGTAGAGTATGTCGGTCTGTAATAACAAAACAAGACAACATGTGTCCTGTCCTTCCCAACCAATTGGAAAGTACAGTACTGTGCCCGATACTGCACATAAAAAAAAACTTTAATTTACAGAGTTTTTTGCAGGAAGGAGGGTAGCTCGCATTTGCTTCCTGCCATGGCTTCCTTGAATGCTGCTACAGACCATCGCTCTTCATTCATTCAAGATGGCCGTCCTTCTCGTGCCGGTAATCGCGGCACAGCTCGCTATGTTTTACGGCCTTGACGACTACGGGTTCGATCAGGACGACAAAGACGAGAACCCAGCTCTTCACCGTCCGTTTCTGCTTGATGCCTCATTTGACGTACGCGTATATTTCGACGAGTTCACCTGTGTCCAGCTGGAGGAGATCCTTGAGGTCCTCCAGGTTCCCCCAAGGACCAAAAGCCGTGACAGTGACAGGGACAACGTCGATTCGCTTATGGTACTTTGCATGACCATATACCGTTTGTCTTACCCAGCCCAGCTTGACGAGAAAGCAGAAGAGGGGGAAAGAAAGGAGTGAATGAACCAAAGGAGAAAAAAGAAAGGAAGGAAGGACGCGTCCTAACATGGGTCAAAAGTGGTTGGTTGATGGAACTTGATGGACCTTTCACTCTTCACTCTTCACTCTTTGCTCATTCTTCTTCTTCTCCTCCTCCTCCTCCTCTTCTTCCTTCCTCTCCCAACCAACGTCTCCTATTCACATTCAGTAATAACACCAGCAACAACCACAACAGCATGGCATCCACCTCCACCTCACACACTACTTCATTGTCTCCTCTCGACCTGCCAGAGATCCGCGCACACATTGCCCGATACCTCGACAGCAGCACACACGACCTATATGCTCATGCATCCTCGTCTCAAGGACATGGCGGTCCGACTTTATGACTCAGCTCTGGCACACCATTCACGTTGACAGCTCGCTCTATACTACCTCAGCCAACGCATCTTTCACCAGGACGAGCACCTAGGTCGAGAGTTGGTCATGCACGACCCAGTCTTCTTCCTAGAACGGTGGCCCGGGCCCTCTTGTCGATATATCAACCGCCTAGAATACCGTCCTTATATTGCTCAATGGCGATGGACCGCTCCCAACTATGCTTCTTCGGGAGAAGAAACCTCCTCTGACGAATCTTACCAAGGAGACTACGACGATGACGACCTGGACAGTACCTTTGACGATGACCTCAAGAACGACATCAACAACAGCACCAGCGACACCAAGAACAGCGCCAGCAACACTACAACAGCGCCAGCAACACCAACAACAGCACCAGCAACATCAACGACCCATCAAGCAGTCCGAGAAAGATGGGCAGCACATCGGTATCCATTCGAAGGTTCCCTCAACTTGGTCGACAGCAGACGCCCCTCTCGCACCTGAACGAGGATTGGGGTCTCCACTCCAAGGAGCACACGCTACGGTTTGCAAGGGGCTTCATCCGGTGTCAGCATCAGAGCCTTGTTTTACTGCATATCACCAAGTGGATAATCTCTGTCCCAAAGATGAACATGTTGATCAGGAACTGTTCTCGTCTGAAGCAGTTATTCCTGCGGTCCGTTGAGATTGTACCCGTGAATTCAGACTTTAACACTGCTGCGTTTCCTGACCTTCAAGACGAGGAGAGGGAGGAGGAGATGGAGACGGAACAGGTTGAGGAGGGGCAAGTGGATGAGGAATAGGTTGAGGCGGAACAGGTGGATGAGGAGGAACAGGTGGATGAGGAGGGGTAGGCAACCACGACAACAGACTCGACATCGGTACTGGACTTTCGTCAAATCAAGGGGATCCATATTGATCAGATTGTCCTCCACACCAACCGACTCTCGTTTCGTGGCCAGGGTCTGGAGTCGATTGGGTTTGGGGCCTACGCCTTCTTCACACGCTACGCCATCTTCAACAGCCTGCGGCCCCTCACCTGGAGTTTCCCAACACCAAGAGTCTGACCTATATTGGCAAAGGCCGCGATATTCACATACCGAGGTTGGCAATGCGACCCAGGACATCCTGACCTCTTGCTCTCCCGACCTGATACCATTGCGTCCACCGCGGCTGTCGCAGCAACAGCAACAGCGACAGTAACAGCGACAGCAACAGCAACGTCGGCTCTTGGCAGACGAGGCACTCCTCAAGTCACGGCAGCTCAAGGAGGTCACCATCAGTAACTGTTCCGTTTGCAGGTCACTCGTCTCGTCAATTGTCAGTACATTTGGGGAGGCTGGAGGTATTGGATCTGGTCGACTGTGGAGGTCTGTCGAGACTCAACGTTCACCAGATCTTGGTTCGATGTGAGAACTTGAGGTTGTTTCGAGGACCAGAGTCGTTTCTGTGAACGAGGGATATGGTGCTCTCTGAGCAACCCTGGTCGTCACGGCGCCTGAAGGAGCTTGTGGTCTTGATTGGAATTGGAATGTCGCTGGACAAGGATGCGACCAATCTTGCAGAGATGGCAGACACTACGAGTGTCAAGGCGGTGTTGGCCCCGAAGTCGACTCGGCGGTCGATTAATGTTATTCTTAACCAGATTGCGCAACTACAGGATCTCAAGGTTCTTAATCTGAGTGGCGACTTGGACTACCACCTGGCAGAGGACTGTCGCAAGGGGATCCCGTTGGTGCTTATTGTTGGTCTGGACAAGCTGAGAAGCCTGAGCAAGTTGAGGAGGGTGTATGTCTCTGGATGGGAGGATGAGATGAGCGCGAAGGAGGCAGAGTGGATGAGTATACACTGGCTACAGTTGGAATACATCCACAACCGAGAAGGTGGAGCCGGCTCTGTCTGGCGCGAGTTCTTGACTACGCTCAATCATCTCCTCCAGCACGCTTATTTCGCATCCAAGTAATTCTTTTTTTTTCCCCTCCGACAAAATTGTCATCCACACGCCACCATTTCTTCTCCCCTTCCCCTTGTCCGGCGATGGACTTCTTCCCAGATCCGAACCCAAGAACCACTTCTTCCAGCCCAGGAATATACGATCGCAACGGCGACGGGGACAAATACAAACTGGACTACATCCCTTTTGCAAAGTAAGGTACGTCTGTTTCTTCGTTTGTATGCTTTATGATCCTTTGCAGGTACGTACAGGAACAACCTGAAAATTAACTTTATACCCCTCTCTGCATGTGCTTGTCGTTTTTTGAGTCTAGGAGTTCCAGCACAATCGTGAAGCAGGCAGGGTTGTTCGACACGACCGGCGCCAACTCCTTAAAGATGTCGCAGCAGCAACCTATCGATGATCGATGGGGTCTTGGGTTCCCAGATGGTAATACATCGCAACATATAATCCTCTTTACCACATATCTACGTACACGTCGATAAGAAAGATCGCATTTTCATGAGCCCACTTGTACCTTTATGCTTGTAGATCCCAGGGTCCCTAGACTAAGTAGATCGGACCATGAGGATTCTCCTACGACCGACATGGCTAGAAATACTTTCTTGTCACAAGCTCAAGAAAACAATATGGATCCTGCCTTCGGCCTTGGTGTTGGCGCCACCAACAGTCTCGCCGGGGTCGGCATGCTTAGCAGTGGTGGCAGTGACATCTCTCCAGGCCTGTACCAGTCTCCAAGTCCACCTCTGTCTATGACTATCCCAATGTCTTCTCAGATGATCCAGCCACAAGTATCATTTTTTCAGGCGGTGGTCGAAATACCTGCGCCATTAACGAATCCAAGGATTAGGAAGGTAAGTCGGTCCTCGAGGTTGAATGACAAGTATGCTCGCATGAGGGTGCGAGTTTTGTTTTATTGCAATAATAGACGATGTTGATGGACACTGCGATATCCCTCGTGACGTCGGTCGGTCACCTCCGTGTCTCTCATAGCGTTGATCGGAGCATGTTTTCTTGGTGTCTGTCGATGAATAATGTAATAAACCCAAAGAAATCGATTCGAACGTTGTAGATTGAAATGGAGCTTGTTGCTCAGCTACCGTATTCATACCCTCGAGTTGAGCGACACCAGTACGACCAGCCGACTATCTCTGATTCATGGAGTGCTGTTGGTACGTCTAGTCAGCGACCACTTGGTCTTCCGCTTGCTGGCGTTCAATGTGCTCAAGTACTCCTCCTCTCAACGCGCACCGGCCCAACAGACCTATGGGCGAGGAAGAGGAGGTGCTGGTGGCGTTGCGTTTCCGACTCGGCACTTCAAGATGTCGTCACCGGCTGGGGCGACAGGCGCTTCAAGTCCGAGCTCACATGTGTTCCTTCCAATAACGATCCTCCAAGGAGCGAGAGGGACAGAGGAGGTCGTGACGGTGATGGGCCAAGTCGGGGAGGATGGGTTTGACGACTGGGTGTTTGGAGGACTTGTTGTTTGATCTTGAGCCCATGGTTGTCCACACGCCCAACTCGGTCCATGTTGCACAAGGTTACGACAGCGACCAGTTCGCATCAACAGCAACAGTTAAACCAACACAGGCCAACAACACCAACAACAGTAGCAGTACCAGCAGCCAGCTTCGCTATTCTCCAAGGTTGCAGAAGTAGCCCTCTGCGCAGGACGAGTGACCAATGGCATGGCTTGATCGGATTCAAAAGCTTGGATCAGATATACGGGTGTCCGCAGTGGCGACTGTCCCTCGGTTTGGTTACATTTCTGTTGCTTCCGAGAAAGGACGGACAAACAAACAAGTCAACGCCGGCAGCAGTAGTAGCAAAGGACAGACAGCAATTCAGGGGTTAGCATCCATGAACATGCATACATACGTTCAGCTAGAAGATAGGTAGACAAAGGGGGGTTGAGGGGGAGTGTGTAAAAGAGGACAAACAACAACAGCACACACACACAGAGAGAGAGAGAGTCTCATAGACTATAACAATACTGCAATGATCCAGAAGAAAAAAAAGGCGTTAAGCGAAGCTAAATGTATAGCCATCACGGCAAGCTAAATGTATAGCCATCACGGCAAGCTAAATGTATAGCCATCACGGCAAGCTAACGTATAGCCATCACGGCAAGCTAAATGTATAGCCATCACGGCAAGCTAAATGTATAGCCATCACGGCAAGCTAACGTATAGCCATCACCGCAAGCTAAATGTATAGCCATCACCGCAAGCTAAATGTATAGCCATCACCGCAAGCTAAATGTATAGCCATCACCGCAAGCTAACGTATAGCCATCACCGCAAGCTAAATGTATAGCCATCACGGCAAGCTAAATGTATAGCCATCACCGCGTATTGATTTTTCTTTTGTATGTGGGAGTCAAAATGACTATGTCGGAGACATATAAATACACCCTTCTTGCCCTTTCATTTTGCCATCATTCACTCTCACACACTCACACTCACACACCTACTCTCACACACCCACTCTCACACACTCACTCTCACACACTCACTCTCACTCACTCACTCTCACTCATTCACTCACACACCCACTCTCACTCACTCACCAACACCCGCACATGAATACAGACGGCGGCGAGAAGGCAGTTGCCAAGTTAAAGGTTTACCCATTCTTCAACCAACCAGAAAGGGTTTTTTACCTATACAAAGGTTTCAGCGCTGTCGGGCGCGATCCCAACGTGTGCGACGTCTGGTTGACAGAGGATTACATCTGTCGTGTACACATGCACATCAGTAAGAACCTTAAAGCAGTTGCTGACACGCCATGAAGCTAATGAAATGTGCAAGACGCAATCGAAAGATGATCGAGGAGAATTGCTGACATTTGATTCCAATCGTTTTTTCTTTTGCTTTTTTTTTCTCGCAATTTGGTAGTCGTTCATGACGAGCTCATATTCATTCAGGATGAGGTGAAGCGCCCAGTAAGTCATCCACTTTCCAGTCACATACCAGAGTGATACGCCATGGGAGTAGGCTGAGGAGGAACAGGAAGTTTTCACAACGAAAGTCACAAGGGTGTGGGTTTGTCTCTGACGACGCTTATTGTTTGCTGTTTGTTTGTTTTATTCAAAATAGGGCGAAAAGCCGACCACGTACTCCACCCTCTCTACCTCCTCCACTCCCTCCACTACACATGTCATGGAGCTCAATACCTGGTACCTTTGCAGTGGAAAATTGGTAAAGCCAAGTATATTCATATATTATGCTTGCGTTTATAGGTCCAATGAACGCGGGAACTGGTACCGAGTTGAAAGCCGAGACTGATACCGCATGGGGTTTATTCATGCCTTTTTTTCCTTATAGAGATTCAAACTCGCAGGGCTGCTGACGTTGGTCGTGAGGAAGTTGGATGAAGATGAGCAAGAAGCGGCGCCGCGCAAGGTAATAATGCAGTAAACAATGCAAGGTTACTTCTCGTTTGGTGGCAAGTTAAAGAACACACTCAAATTTAAAACTTGATAAATATTTACCCCACCTTGTTGCACTTGTTCTTGTTGATAGGGTTACATCACCCCGGAACAGCAGACGGCAATTAACAACAGGACACATATGGACGTAACATTTGTGGGTGAGGGCCCTACCGTGCACAACACCCAGCCCAGCGCACCTTCCATTGTGATCCCTGCCTACTACGACCTCAACCCCGGCAGCAGAGGCAGCTCATATAGTTCAAGATCGGCGAGCCCTTCTTTGTACGAGTATGAGGACGATCCTATCCGTGCACCTTGCGACGATTCCTTCGAGCCTACTCACATAATAGAGGACGTCACGCAAGTTGTTCGCGAGGTACAATACGTTCGCGAGGGGCCAAACGTCTTAAGTCAAAGCATCTTTGACTTGAGTCAAAGCATCTTTCTCCCACCCGCCCCCATAATCCCAGGCATTCCAGCTGATGTCACCCTCCCACGACCAATTATTAGGGGAGGCCCTGGCTTCTTCAACTCCTCCTCAAGACTCCCCGACCGCGCACACAACAACTTTACCGAATATTTCGACAACATTCGGACGACGAGCGCACTCATGGACATGTACTACGAGGACACCCAGGTCATCAGCGATGACCTTAACCACGCGTTGGAGTCGAGTATTATCCCTCCTGAAACCCTACCCACGCCCAGGGTTCGGACCGATGCGCAAAGGGCTGACAGACGGGCTTACAGACGGGATCGCAGAACCAGACGCAAGGAACGCAGGCGAGCTGCACGCATGGCTGCTGCTCTGGCTACCCAGGATGCCTGAATAGACATATCAATAAAAAATGATAAAATCTCGCGTTGGATTGCTGTCAGTGTTCGTGATCTTTTATTCAGGTGCAACAAGAAGGAAGGGGGCTCCAAGAAAGGAAATGATCAACTGAAAAATGATGATGATGATGATGATGATGATAATGATGATGATAACGGCAGAAGAAAAAATGATTTCGAACGAAGCAAAGCGGAGGTGGAAAAGAGGGAAGGGTGATGGCGATGAAGGATGTCATGGCGCCACTGAACCCTCGAGCGTCCACGACGAATTGTCTAGGAGTTGCGAAGGACAGTCAAGAAACAAGGCAGGAAGTCCTATCAAATCACCAATAGCAACAAAAAGGATGGGTTTGTGCGCGTTACATTTCGGAGGAAGGAAAATCACAAGGAGAAGTAAACGCGTGCATCAAGATTTTTGTGCAACCCTACCGTGTCGTTTTGGACAAAGCACACGCCAGCATTTTTAAAGTTGACGAATCGAGTCTTGAGAAGAACATGGACAAGAATGCCTGCTGGTCGGATTTTATCAAAGCATAGTTGTGTGCCGTTCGTTCAGTTTAGACAGAAAAGAAATTGCCTAAGAGTTCATTGATTCATTGCCAAGTCGAACAAAATCGATGAGCTGCAAAGCATCTAATGGAGGCCTCCAGTCGAGAAACTCTCAATTAGATGTGACAGTGCGTCTACTACCTCCTCTGCTGTAGGCTCGCAGGTGGCCATGGTTCAATATCCCATAAGTCGCGCAGGCTCTGTCGCACCAGTTGCTGGCATCGGTGTTGGTCAAGTCGATATCAGGGTTAACAATTCGATAGTCAAGACATCCACAGTGTGGAGTGCCGTGGTAGTAGGTCGTGTAAAGTAAGTCTTGTTGCAAGCTGAATGTATGGCTCTCAATGTGCGCAGAGGAGACATCGGCATCTCTTGGGGAAAAAAAACAGTACACTTAGCCCGACATAAGAAAACTGGTACTGGAGCATGTACATAAAGCAGCGGCCGGTTGAGCTGGCAGTAAGACCGTTCTGCCAGACATCGTGCAGAGTCCCGATTCTCTCAAGAGGAACCTTTGCCAACGAGGACCCAACAGGCACAGATTTGGCACGGTGAATGACCTACGCAGCCCTCACCCGCGAGGGGAGTAATTGAGGCCTGTTGGTCGAGGAGGAGGGGGTGGTGGATGTCGGCTTCGGACTTGTTGAGTTTGACAACGGCAAGAACGGCTGCGATTGCGATCATCACGAGGATGATGAGTGCGTCGACTTCTATTTTCTTTCTTGGTGTATCGTCCAACGCCACAGAACCCCTAGAAAGGTTGGTAATCCAGGACGCCTGTTGAGCACCATCCTCTTTTTCTTTATTCTTATCGTCGTGCTCTTGGTCTTTCACCTCTTCACCTACATCCCACCTGACCTCACACTCCCTTGACTCCTAAAGAAAAAAGGCAATAGGGACTAAACTTGTCTTTGTCGGATCGATTCTGGTGCATGAGTGGTGTGGTTGCAAAGGCCATCTGCAAGTGGTCGTGAGAGGTGAGAGGCGAGAGTGGAGGCTATTGGGGTAGGAGGGTCGCAGATAGAAAAAGTACAGGTAGGAATAAAAAGGAGATATGCTCATTTGACACACGATCATAAATAATTACCACTGACGCGTACCGCGATCAAAACGAAAACGCGCTCGTGGAAAGTCTCTTAATTCAAACACATGTCTTGTTCAGAACCAAAAATGTCTGTTTGCATGCTTGTCAGTCATTGTTTGCTGGTCAGTCATTGTTTGCTTGTCAGTCATTGTTGCTGGTCAGTCATTGTTTGCTTGTCAGTCATTGTTTGCTTGTCAGTCATTGTTTAATGTCCAATAATACTCTGTGTGCTATGAAACCGATGCTATCCACGTCCGTGGCCATCACCACGATCACAACCACTCCTTGTCGATTTTTGTTCCCCTCGTTTCCAGTCTTGTCCGTCTCGAACATGCCATTCTTGTCGAATCTGGTCCGCATCCTGATTAACATCCTAGGGACATATGAGAGAGAAAGAGTGGGGAAAAAAGTTAACATGAGAGCCAGAAATACTAACGATATTAAGGTGCCATTGGAAAGAAAAGTGAAAAAAAAAGTGACCATATAACATAATAAGAAAGAAAGAAAAAAAAAGCGAGCAATAACAACATCTGTCTCCGGTTGGCCTCCGTAAACTCGCAAAATAGAGGCCCCAACCCAGAGCCTACCGCCCATCCTTCAGAGGGTAGTGAGACTACATCTCTTTATACTACTTCTTATATGCTACTCCGACGAATACTCAGCAACAACATTAGGGCCAAATATGTCCAGAAGACTGGCACTCGGTCGGCCCGATGCCTTAGACATGTTGAAATGTCTTTCGCTCGCGACAATTCGCAGGCGCGTAAATACGCCCCTTTTCTGCCGGCAATAAAGAGCATGCAGTGTCTCAATGTAAACAAGGCATGTGCACTTGTTTATCTCTGAAGGCCTCAGGCCTTGCAAGTTCCGAGAAGGGACCATACCTTGCAAGCGCAAATGTGTCAGTTGAGCACCTTCCTCTCCCTCCGTCTTATATCCTCGTCTATGACCTCTTCTGCCTTTTCCACTCCTCTTTTCTCCCTTAAAAAAAATCAATAAACTGGCACTTATCTTTTTGTCAGCTTTTTGGTTGTTCGACCAGGGTGTTGTTGTTTTGAATGTTAGACTTGTGGAAAGGGGCAGAGATGAGGAAAAGTCGTGGGAGGCGTGTGTTCCTGCTTTTTGTTCCGTGGCTGTGGAGTAGAGGGTTGGGATGGGTGAAGAAGAAGAGAAGGTCAGCAAACAAAGCATCAGCCAACACGCTTCGAATCGATTACGTTGCAGAAAGGAGACAAGGGCGGTCGAAAGGGCTGACAATGAGGGAAGGGAAGAAGGGAAGAAAGGTAAAGAAGTGAAAAAGGGAATGGGGAGAGTGAAGGGTTGAGGGAAGAGAGATAGGGGAAGGGGTGTAAGGGGTCGTTGTTTGGTTACCGTTCGTCGTCGTTTCGGAAGTGAAGGTGAGGGCGAAGGTGAGGGCGAAGGTGAGGGTGAAGGTGGGGGTGAAGGTGAGGGGAACGAGAGAAGAAGGGAAGGAAAAAAGAAAGGAAAGAAGGATGGAAAGGAAAGGACGGAGATAAGAAAGAATAGACTGATGGTCTGCCGAAAAAATGACAGCCAGTCCCTTTTTTCATATGCTCCCGTCCTTTTTGCCTGCACGCTGATCGTGTGCACTCCCTTATCCTGATGAAAGGACGTCATTGGTTTATTCAAGGAAAACGAAAGGAAAGAAATAACGCCATTGGTTTATTCAAGGAAAATGAAGGAAAGAAAGGACGCCAAGACGCGGAGGGATAAGACAAAGTGCACATGGTATGACGACCGTGGGAACGATAGATACAAGAAAGAGGAAAAAGAAAGGCAACGAGCGTCCCAGTCAAACAAACAAAAGACAACTGCAACATGAAACAACGCGCATAGCACATACAAAATCCATGAAATAGACGCGAAAGGTGGTTGTCCTGTTTTTGTGCAAGGTGAGGGGAGCTAGAAAGAAGAAAAAAAAGGAGAGAAAGAGAGGGAATCAGCATGCCAAACTGATTTCGGCCTTTTTTTTTTTTTTTTTTTTTTCTTTTTTGGAAATGCCCATTCATCAATGCACCGACCGGGTCCTAGATTCCTGTCGTTCATTCTCCTGATTCGTAACCTCGTTGATCACAACTTGACTTTTTTCGCATTTTGCATTTTGCATGGACCGACATTGGTTCATCATCGGACTTGAAAGGCCCGGATCATCTCACATTGTTCGTATGTCCAAAGCAGAGTGTGGCGAATGATCTATATGTAAAATTTTACATGGGTTTAGCAGACCGACCTGATTATTTAAATACCACAAGCTCCCTACGGGTAAATTAATAGCAGCTCCATACTAAGGACATGAAGTGGAACCTAAAGGTCTTTGATGCGCGGAGGCAGTCATTCTCAATAGAGAGTAATATCACAATGTGTGAATTCGTGCCAGACCCCCCAATGTAACAAAACATGCTTTAACGATATCTTCCATGTAGGATCTAATAGTTCCATATGTTTCCTATTTTCTAGATCCCACTTCGTGTCCTTGGTGTTGAACTGCTATGAGGTTACCCGTAGAAAGTGTATTGAGCTTGTGGTATTTAAAATAACCAAGTCGGTCTTGCTAAACCCATGTAAAATTTTACATATAGATCATTCGCCACACTCTGCTTTGGACATACGAACAATGTGAGATGATCCGGGCCTTTCAAGTCCGATGATGAACCAATGTCGGTCCATGCAAAATGCAAAATGCGAAAAAAGTCAAGTTGTGATCAACGAGGTTACGAATCAGGAGAATGAACGACAGGAATCTAGGACCCGGTCGGTGCATTGATGAATGGGCATTTCCAAAAAAGAAAAAAAAAAAAAAAAAAAAAAGGCCGAAATCAGTTTGGCATGCTGATTCCCTCTCTTTCTCTCCTTTTTTTTCTTCTTTCTAGCTCCCCTCACCTTGCACAAAAACAGGACAACCACCTTTCGCGTCTATTTCATGGATTTTGTATGTGCTATGCGCGTTGTTTCATGTTGCAGTTGTCTTTTGTTTGTTTGACTGGGACGCTCGTTGCCTTTCTTTTTCCTCTTTCTTGTATCTATCGTTCCCACGGTCGTCATACCATGTGCACTTTGTCTTATCCCTCCGCGTCTTGGCGTCCTTTCTTTCCTTCATTTTCCTTGAATAAACCAATGGCGTTATTTCTTTCCTTTCGTTTTCCTTGAATAAACCAATGACGTCCTTTCATCAGGATAAGGGAGTGCACACGATCAGCGTGCAGGCAAAAAGGACGGGAGCATATGAAAAAAGGGACTGGCTGTCATTTTTTCGGCAGACCATCAGTCTATTCTTTCTTATCTCCGTCCTTTCCTTTCCATCCTTCTTTCCTTTCTTTTTTCCTTCCCTTCTTCTCTCGTTC